AAGAAAATGGAGGCTAACTAGACATCAGGATCAGTGGTAAATGCATCTGACAGGAAGCCAGAGCCTGGAGTCCTGCACAGTCGCTGCCTGTGGCATTCAAACAGCTCCTACCTTTCTGATGGGCAGCCCTGGCACTTTATGAAGCTGCAGCATGGACCCTCTCTACTGTTCAGGCCTTACCACTGTGGTAGTCTGTTGAGGATCTTACAGCAGGAAATAGCTCTGTCTTCTGAAGCTGGCACTGAGATGCTTAGTCCCTGGCCAAAATGTGTTGCCATGAACGGGCCTCAAAAAACACGTTCCACCTCTGAGAGAGCTGGGTGAGACACATGGGGAAGAACATGCCAACACCAAGTCTACCATCAGCAACGTGATGCTGAAGGGAACGCTGACCCACCTGCTCTACCCTCTGCTCCTTACAATTATCAGCCCAGGAAAGGAAGCTGAGAACTTCTCTGGACCACTTGATGAGCAGCAGTGGTCTCTGCTGGCCACTGAGATCAGAAACAAATACACAGAATAAGCTTTGTTACTACATCAGTTGCCACTTGAACTCTTTAACTGTTGCATCCTGCCAAGTCCAAAGAAACTCTAACTCAGCCACAGATTGCAATACCAAGGGAGTGTTCTCACAAAGACCTCTGACTTCTTAGACAAAATCCAACACGAGCCTAAAGATGAGTCTCTTGGCAGAAAAACAAAACAAAACATTAGGTTCTTGCCAGTCTACAGTAAACAAGTCCAAACGGGAATTTGCCAAAGGACTGTCCAAACCACAGTCCAAAATAGCAGAGAGCAGTGTCCTTTATCCAACCACCTCTTGTTCTATTTTAGTCTCCCTCAGCAGCTTGTAACCTCTGTTTAGGTCGGCGCTATGGCTTATCTCTTAGCCCCTCTGCTTTCCTAGATTACACACCATGTGTCAGAAGGTGTCCTCACTGATTCAGGGCTGACTTTTGAGCGTGCGTCTACTACACATTACGAGATGCAAGGGAGAAGCACAACGTGAGGCCCCTGAAAGACAGCACATCTCCCCCTACACACACCATCCCAGAGCCTCCCCACAATAGAAATTAACCCAGAGACAAAAGGTGAAAGTCATACTACTGAGGGCAGTTATGTGGGGAAATAAAAATCCTATCATTGTGGCAGTTCTGACGCCAAGAGAAGTCTTGATCTCAGATGTACTAGATCCAGCATCATGGTCTCACAGAGAGTGCAGCAAACCGGGTTTCTCTGTCACAGCATCCCACAGGGCCCCGGTGCCATTTTCGGTCCGCTCCTTCACCAGCGATCCCCAACAGCGCTACCGCGGGACCGCAAACCCCAACCCCGAGCAGAACTGGGGGG